AATCTACTTCCGTAGTGATACTGCCTCAGAAACCCAAGGAGAGCTCGCTATGAGTCAGGTCTGACTCGATGGCACATAACAACAGCAACAACAAATGGACATACAGAGACATGTAGATGATTGCATAAGCATTCAGTTTGACAAAAGCATTTCCAAAAGATGTTAAGATTTAGCAGTGAGGTGATACATAATTATCCTCATTTGTTGTTGTTGTTGTTATGTGCCCTCGAGTCAAACCTGACTCATAGCGACCCCTCCTTGGGTTTCCGAGGCAGTATTACTACAGAAGTAGGATTGCCCAACCTTCCTTCCGAGGAGTGGCTGGTGGGTTTGAACCGCCAGTCCTCTGGTTAGCAGGCAAGTGTCTTATCCACTATGCTACCAGAGCTCCCATAGATCCTTTAATTAAATAGAATTTTAGGGCAAACTCTTCTTATATTTCTTTTGAATTTTAACTTGAGTTTTTAAAATCACTTAATGAAAAATAAAGTGAAATATAATTTACGTCATGCAAAAATGCATGATATTGATGCAGGACTTAAGGAAAAACACTTCTCCGTACCTGTGGGCCCTTCAGGAAAAATCTTTAGGTGCCTCTGGTAGCAAAGTGCCTAAGGCACTTAACTGCTAACCAGAGGGCTGGTGGTTCAAACCTACCAGCCACTCCTTGGAAGGAAAATGGGGCAATCTACTTCTGTAGTGATATTGCCTCAGAAACTCAAGGAGGGGTCGCTATGAGTTGGGTCCAACTTGACAGCACATAACAACAACAACAACAAGTCTTGGAAGTTTCCTTTGATGCCATTCCTTCATACCTTACACCCAATCCATCAGGAAATTCCACTGGCTACACCTTCAAATATCATGTATTGAGTGCCTCTAAACTACCTTCCTCCTTCACTGGGTTACATCAGTAGCCTCCTATCATTCTCCCTGCTTCCATCCTTGCCCTGATATAGTTTATTTTCCATATAGCAGCCAGAGTGATCTTTTAGAAACCCAAATTAAATCATACCCTGACCTAATCAAACCCTCCAAGACACCTCTTCATTCTGGACACAAAAATCCAAAGTCCTGACCATCCCACTCAAAGCCTTGCATGATCAGGGCCCTGACTACATCTCTGATCTCATTCTCTGTGAATTCCTCCTGTGCACTTGTAGCTACAGATTTTGTGAACACATTCCAACCTCAGGACCTTGGCACCTCTGCCTGGAATAATCTCCTCCCAGTAGTTTGCACAGCTCCCTTCCTCCTTTAGCTTAGGTCGGTGCTCCAAAGGTGCCTTCTTAGAGAAGTCTTTCTTGATCAACTCATCTAAGATTGTAACACTGCCATGCTCTATCCCCATACCTTGCTTTATTTCCTTCATAACAGTTAATACTACCAGATATCACATTACATATTTATTTGTTTATCTGCTTATTGTCTGTCTTTAGGACAAGAATTGTCTGTCTTTAGGACAAGAATTAAAGCTTCGTGAGGGCCAGAATCCTGTATGTTTTGTTTCAGTGTGCTTCCCTTGCTTAAAACAGTACCTGGCATGTGGTCAATGTTTGGAAAATATTTCTTGGATGAATAAATGAATAAATAATCTTTATGGAGGTGGCAATATCATCATGGCATTTGTCTGTATCTTTTCAAAATTGTGAGGGTCTGAGTTTCTTTGGGTTATTGATACAGTATATTATTTCATGCTTTAGGCTTTTTTGAAACCAGGGTAACTGACTTCAAATTACTACTATTCCCAGAAATAATCTGATTTGGACATTCTTGGTTTACTACTATAGTACTAACAAGATATTGAATCCATACTTGTATATTTATTTTTATACAATGGTTTTAAGATACAAGCAGTACCATTATGAGGAATGCTTTTGAAAAGAAGAAAAATCACACTACCACCTTAATATATCCACATATGCACATTATATGCAATTACAAGAAGGTATACATGAAAATTTTTTCATGTAATATTTTCTTATAAATATTTTAACACTGTGTCACATATTCCATGTTAACATTTCTCATAGCTACAGAATATTCCACCAATGTGATGTATCACAGTTTAATTAACCAATTCCAAATTATGAGACATTCTGGCTGTTTTCAAATTTTCCCTCTTAGGAACAATACTACAATACTGGACGTGGGTATAGGTTTTTTTCCCATATTTTAGAAAACTGTCTCATGATTAATTTCTAACAATGGAATTACTGGTTCATAAAATATGAGTATAATTACACATTCGTACATAATGGAATGCATAGTGCTTTCCAAAAGGATCGTGTCAATGTAACAAGGTCACACCAGCCTTACATTGGCATTGGATGGTACTATTAAACATAATTCAAAGAGGTTTAAAATTTTAAGATGAACTTAACAGATTTCAAAAACAATGTTATATTAAAATGTGAATTTCTTTGCTAGTAATGTTGAATTTTCCCCATATACTTATAATGATTCATCTCTCTCTCTCTAATAGCCTTTGCTTTTTCAGCTATTGAGGGCTTGATGATTTTCTCTTACACTTGAATAAACTCTTTCATGGCAAATGAAAATATTTTCCTAGTCTTTTCCTTTAATTTTAATTTTTTATAGTTCAATAATTTTTATATTCATACAACTTAATTTGTCAATTTTTCTTTTGTTAATTCTCTTTACTTTAGAAATTGAATGTATATGAGAGATGATGTGTTAATTATCCAATCATAATAGACAATGATGTTGTTGTTGTTATGTGTCATTGACCCCTCCTTGGGTTGCCGAGGCAGTATCATTACGGAATAGATTGCCCAACCTTCCTTCCAAGGAGTGGCTGGTGGGTTTGAACTGCCAGCCTTCTGGTTAGCAGTCAAGTGCCTTAGGCACTATGCTACCAGAGCTCCTAGACTGTCATAATAATGATAAAAAATCATCTTAGAGTGCCTAAGTATACTTGCCAAATGAAGAATTTCAGAAAATGAACAATGAAGTGGATGTGAACTTAGAACTTAGGGGAAATGTCTGAGTATGTAAGGGCTGGAGGGAAAGAGGAAAAAGAGAGATGAAGCAATTTCTTTTCTCTGTTAAGGCCTGACAGCATATGTCTCCCAGCATGGAGAAAGAGCATGACCTACATTTAACACATAAGCACCAGCTGGCTCTTTTGGACAGGCTTTCAAATGGAAAGCACCCCTGACTAGTGTTAATCTGCTTTGCTGGTGATGCTCATGAAGATGATTCCAAGCCACCAAAGAGTTCCTGAGTCTCTTCCAAACATCAAAGAGATATGCTTGGTTTACTTTTTGGTATTAGACACACTAGGCTATGAACTCCTTGAAGGCATCTTTGTAATCCCAGAATCTGGAACCGGCTAGATGCAGAGCAAATGTTTGCTAAATGAACATTTAAAAAAATAATTTTTATTGTTTTCTAATCCTTTTAGCAGTTGGTTGGAAATTTGTAGTTTATGTGGTGGAGTGGAAAGGAGAGTGTTTATGTTCCAATCCAGGCCTAGGCACTAAGAAGTTGGGTAACCTTCCAAACAAAAAATCCAAATGCATTGCCGTCAAGTCAGATCCGACTCATAGCGACCCCTCCTTGGGTTTCCAAAGCAGTATCACTACAGAAGTAGATTACCCAACCTTCCTTCTGAGGAGTGGGTTTGAACCACTAGCCTTCTGGTTAGCAGTCAAATGCCTTAGGCACTATGCCACCAGATCTCCTTGAGTAACCTTAACAGTTACTTATTCTTATACACACACACACACACACACATACACACACATATATTTTGTGGGGGCCTCAGTTCTCATTGGTAAAAATAAGATAGGGCATCAGGTTGGATGATCTCGGAGATACTTTTCAGTAAGGATACTCTATAATTATAAATAGTAAATTAATTAAATATAGTCTCCACTTCACTGGGTAGCCTATTTTTTTGGTTGTTTGATTGTTTAAACTATGTCTTATCAAAAAGAGAATGAACTGTAATAGAAGAATAGAATAGAATACAGAATAAACTGTAATAACCTGATCATAGGCTCCAAAGCATTGATTAAATCTGGATTCACTGTGAGTCCTCATAAATAGCAATACAATGCAGTTTACAAACACTGATTTCTGTTTCAATGTTAGACAGTGGAGAATGGAAGAGAAAGAAAAAAATGAGACCATCCTTCAGAGTTGTGTAGTCTAATACAGCAACCTCTAGTCACATATGGCTATTGAACAATTGAAGTGTGGGTAATCTGAATTGAGATATGTTATAAGGAGCTCTGGTAGCATAGTGCCTAAGGCACTTGACTGCTAACCAGAAGGCTGGTGGTTCAAACCCACCAGCCACTCCTTGGAAGGAAGATGGGACAATCTACTTCCATGGTGATACTGCCTCAGAAACCCAAGGAGAGGTTGCTTTGAGTTGGGTCCGACTTGATGGCATATAACAACAACATTAAGTACAAAATACACATAGGATTGAGAAGATTTGGTATGATTAAAAAAAGGTAAATATCTCATTGATAATTTTTACATTGATTACATGTTGAAATGATAATTTTTGGATATATAAAATTAAATATATTAAAAATAATTTCACCATTTCTTTTTACTTTTTAAAATGTGGCTACTAAAAAACTAAAATTATATATGTAGCTTATATTTCTATTGTACAGTGGTGCTCTAGAAGGAAGATACCAACCTACTGCCTGTGAGCCAATTCTAACTCATAGTGACCCTATAGAACAGGGTAGAACTGCCCCACAGAGTCTTCAAGGCTTTATCTTTATGCAAGCAGAGTGCCTCATCTTTCTCCCATGGAGTCGCTGTAGTTTTGAACAATGAATTAACCTGTCAGGTAGCAGCCGAGTGCTTTAATTACTGTGCCATAATAATGAGAATGAAATTAGTCAAGGTGCAAACAGAGAAGATAAATTCTTCACATTATTAAGATGAAAGTTTCTTTGCTTTTTATTGCAGCAAACTTGGTTTCCACTGATGTTAAATTTATTATTTTGTAGGAAAATGGCTTCGTAAAGAAGTTTGAACCTAGATCTGGCTGGCTGACTTTTCTGGAAGTTACAAGAATGATCTGTGAAATATTTCTCCTGAAGCACTACTACTGACTGAAAAGTGTACTCTATATTGTGAAACCTGCCTAATTCTCCTGACTCGAGCAAGAACTACTGCCAATGCTTCTCCTTCTAAACAAACAACTTGATGTAACTTGACTTTCCGAGTTATGAACATTTTATATATAAATAATAAAGTTTTGTATAATTTTATTGTTTTAATGCTTAACTCTGTATTTTCCTCTATGTATAATTTGTGTCCCATGTTTTTGGCTCTGCCTGGAAGTCAGTAAAAGGAGAAAGCATAATATAGGATATAGGTATTAAATTAAGGGGATGATGACCAGAATGGTGGCATCCCTTCTGCCCCACAGCAGACTATTTTTTAAGGGTATGACCATGACCCAAAAGTTGTTCTCTATGTTAGGTGTGGTAGTTAAGGTTGTGTCAACTTGGCAGGGCCTAGTTTTAAGTGGCTGGGCAGTTGGATGTAGCTATTCCTCATGTTGGGCCTGGTAATCAACCCTATGGTGGAATCTACTGGGGCAGGTGAGTAGCTATCTTAGGGATGTGGTCTGCTTCTAGTATATAAAGAGAAGTTTTGAGAAAGGTCTCTACAGCTTTTTGGTTATGCTTGGACCCTGCATGTAGCTAAGTCCTCATTTGGTAGCCTGCCATGCCCTGCAGATCTTGGAATTTTTCTGGACTTGAACTAGTGGCTTGCCATGTTGTTTGATAATCTTGGGACTGTGCCTTTTTACTTGTTGACCCTGGGTTTGCCAGTCTCAGCAGCCAGCAGCTGCCTGAGTTAAGAAAAGTCTCCAGCTTCAGTGGGTTGGGAGAAAGAAGCAGAGCTGAAACCCAAGGTAATGGGGCTTTCACCCAGTCCCTAGAGCTTGGCACTTTGAGCTCAGACTTCTAGCCTCCTAAACTGTAGGAGAATATATCCTGGTTTACTCAAACCACTCATTTGTGGTTTTCTGTTAGAGCAGCACTAGAGAACCAAAACACTAGGCAAGGCTACATTGTGGGTGTCAGCTACCCACTTCCCTCTCGGCCCCAGGCTTCTCTAGTGCTCAGTTCTCCTTGCTGCTTGGGATCTTCCAGTGATTGTCCCCAGCTCCACTCCACAGCCTTCACTCTCTGGCCTGCCATTTGGAGGCAATGGTAAATGGCAACCAGATATTCTGGATACTCTGGGATGGTTCAAACAAAGACAGAGGATTCAACCTAGAGTCATTGTTAAGCCTTTCATTTTAAAAATGTCACAAATCAGAAAATAATATCTTTTGTTAGACTCTGCGTTCCAGTTTTTAGGTCAGCAAATTTAGTTCCGGTATGAGAACACTATACCTTGCTCTACACCTCTCCCCTTTCCTTTTCCTCCCACAGTACAATCTCTACTCCTGTGGGGCTTGCATTACCTTCTCTAAGAAATTGTTGATTGATTTAATAAAGAAACCAGAGCCCTTCTCTCTTATTCATGTGCAATATCACAGGGGATTTCAGTTAATTAATGCTTTACCTTTGAGGTGTGTGTCTTAATGATGGGAATTAGGACACTCACTGAGTCAAATCAGTAGGAAAAGAAGCTTTGGCAGACTTCTCAAATCTGAGAGGCAACTACTCATGCTACCTGGGGTTTATGTCTATTGGGAGCAAAGTAGGATTCAACATTTTCTTTTACTTCTTCTTGCCATGTATCCACACGCTCACCTTAAGTTTTAATTCACTTTTACTTTAATCAGATCTAAGTGGTGGGAATGAATAATCATGAATGGATATATCAGGAAGTGTGTATACCGGTATTGCTACCTGAAACACATTTGCACATGAAACTTCAAAACATGGCATTTGCTTTACAATGACCTCTTTGACAAGGCGACATTGAGAAATCAGTGACCATTTCCCGTTTGGTGTATGACCTGAACTTTCAACCTGTAGTTTGCTTTGTGTTCTGTTTATTATTTTACTTAAAAAAAAAAAAAAAGCAAAATCAAAATTTTTATGAACCTCAACTTTTACCTTATGCCATACACAAACATTAACTTGAAATAGATCTAAATGCAAGTTAAAAACCAAAAAACTTCTAGAAGAAAGCATTAAAAAAATCTTCACAACTTTAGGGGAGGCAAAGATTTCTTAGAACACGAAAAGTTTGGGCCATATGCACACACACAAATGAAAATGTGAACCTTATCAAAATTTAAATATGCCACTCTTAAATAGACACTATTAAGAACCCAAAAAAGGGGCATGTAAATTATATCTCAATAAAGCTGCTAAAAAAAAAAAAAAAGAGAGATAACTAAAAAAGGCAAGAGAAGATAATATATGCTACATTTATATCTAGGAGCTCTGGTAGCATAGTCCCTAAGGCACTTGACTACTAACCAGAAGGCTGGCGGTTCAAACCCACCAGGCACTCCTCAGTAGGAAGGTTGGGCAATCTACTTCCATAGTGATACCCAAGGAGTGATACTCCTCGGAAACCCAAGGAGGGGTCACTATGAGTCAGGGCTGACTCGATGGCACATAATAACAACAACAATAACAACAACACAATTACATCTGACAAAAGATTTGTATACAGAATATATGCAGTGCTTTTACAACTCAATAGCAAGATGACCATAATTCTAATTTAAAAATATTTGAACAGACACTTCACAAAACAAGATATACAAATGTCCAACACACATGGGAAAGATGCTAGCAACATTTTGCAAGGAGATGCAAATTAAAATCACAATGAAAGGCCATTAAACACCCTCCAGAAAGGCTAGAATGAAAAAGATTGACAATAGCAAGGCTTGAAGAAGATGTGGGGCAACTGGAACCCTCATAAACTACTGGTGATGATGTACAATTGTGCAACCACTATGGAAACCAGTTTGGCAATTTCTTAATAAAGTTAAACACATGTTTTGTTGTTGTTGTTATGTGCTGTGGAGTCGGACCTGACTCATAGCAACCCCTCCTTGGGTTTCCGAGGTATCACTACGGAAGTAGATTGCCCAACCTTCCTTCTGAGGAGTGGCTGGTAGGTTTGAACCACCAGCTTTCTGGTTAGCAGGCAAGTGCCTTAGGCACTACGCTACCAGAGCCCGTTGCCATTGCTTCAATCACAACTCATAGCAACCCTACAGGACAGAGGTGTTCACAACTTATAGCAGCCTTACAGGGTTTCCAAGGTTGTAATCTTTATGGAAGCAGATTCACAGATCTTTCTTCTGCAGAACAACTAGTAGGATCAAACCACTGACCTTTTGGTTAGCAGCGGAGCACTTATCCACTGTACCACCAGGGAGCTTTATGTTTACCATAACGAAAAAAACCACAAACTCACTGCCATTAAGTCAGATCCAACTCACAGCAACCCCTCTTTAGGTTTCTGAGGCAGTATCACAATGGAAGTCGATTGCCCAATCTTCCTTCCCAGAAGTGGCTGGTGGGTTTGAACCTCCAGCCTTCTGGTTAGCAGTCAAATGCCTTAGCCACTTACCACCAGAGCTCCTACATTTACCGTAGGACAATTTCACTCCTAGGTATTTACCCAAAAGTAATGAAAACATATGTCCATATTCATAGCAGCTTTATTTATAATTGGCAAAATAATTGGAAACAACTCAAATGTTTATCAGTAGGTGAATGGATAAACAATCTGTGGCATATCTAGATAATGGAATATTGCTCAGCAATAAAAAGGAATAAAATACTGATACATGCAACAGAGTGGATGAATCTCAAATACATTATGTTGAGTGAAATACCAAACAAAACCCATTGACATGGAGCTGATTTCGACTGATAGTGACCCTATAGGAAGAGTAGAACTGCTCCATAGGGTTTCTTAGGCTGTAAATCTTTATGGGTGCAGACAGCCACATCTTTCTTTCACAAGGTGCTGTGGGTTTGAACAGCTGAACTTTCTGTTGGCAGCTGAGAGCTTTAACCACTGTGCCACCAGGGATCCTTGAGTGAAATAAGCCAGTCAAAAAAAGAGTATTATATAGTATTATTCCATTGACATGAAACCCTAGAAAGGACAAATCTAATACATTGCAGGTTGTTAATGAGTGACAGAAAACAGATCAATAGTTGCCTGGGGTTGAGGTGGGGTGATTGTCTGGGAAGGGATATTTTGTTGTTGCTAAGCACTGTTGAGTCATCTCCAACTCATAGCGACCCTATGTACAGCAGAATGAAACACTGTCTGGTCCCGTGTCAGCTCCATGATCCCCTGTTATATCTGAGCCCATCGTTGTGGCCACTGTATCAATCCATCTTGTTGAGGGCCTTCCCCTCTTTTGTTGACCTTCCACTTTACCAAGCATGATATCCTTCTCCAGAGAATGGTCTCTTCTTACAACTGACCAAAGTAGGTGACAAGAAGTCTGGCCATTCTCGCTCTCAAGGAGCATTCTGGCTGCACTTCCAGGACAGATTAGTTAGCTCCTTTAGCAGTCCATGGTATTTTCAGCATTTTTGTCAACACCACAACTCAAAAGCATGGACTGTTCTTCAGTCTTCCTTATTCATTGTCCATCTCTCACATGCATATGTGGTGATTGAAAATATCATGGCTTGTGTCAGGGGTACTTTAGTCCTCAAGGAGACATCTTTGCTCTTCAGCACTTGAAAGAAATCTTTTGCAGCCGATTTGCCCAGTGCTATATGTTGTCTGATATCTTGACTGCTGCTTCCATTGGTGTTGACCATAGAACCAATATGAAGTCTTTAACAACTTCAATCTTTTCTCCATTTATCGTAATACTGCTTATTGGTCCAGTTGTAAGGATTTTTGTTTTCTTTATATTGAGATGCAATCCATACTGTAGACTATATTCTTCAGTCTTCATTAGTAAGTGTTTCAAGTCATCCTCACTCTCAGCAAGCAAAGTTGTGTTGTCAGCATAGTGCAGGTTGTTAACGAGTCTTCCTCCTCTCTTGATGCCACCTTCTTCTCCATATAGTCCAGCTTCTTGAATTATTTGCTCAGCTTAGAGATTGAATAAGTATCATGAATGGATACAACCCTGACACACTCCCTT